GGTATTTGTCCCAGCAACGAGAGAAGAGTAACTAAGACAGACTAAAATCAGAAACCAAATATATTTAAGAAATTGAGCAAAGCAAAGCAAATTAATTCACAGTAAGTGGAAAACACAATGATAAGAGAAATCACTAAAATAGAAAACAGAAAAAATTGATAAAATCAAGGCTGTTTCCACAAAAAAAGTGGTAAGCTGCTAATTACACTTAACAGGATACAGAACACAAATCATCATATTCATGAACAAAAGAGGGTTATTACTTATACAGACATTGGAATAGTAAAGACAATATGTAGAACAATTATGCCAAAAAATTAGACAAAAATGAACAAATTTCATAAAGATATAATTTACCAAATGACATGTGATGAACAAAAATTTTTAATAGGCCTACATCTTTTAAAAGAAATTGAAAACTGCAAGTCCAGATGTTTTCACTAGCAAATTCTACCTGAAAATTTAAAAACATACTTCAAAATGGATACAGGATGGCAACAGCAGCACATTAAGAAATAATCAAGTCTGATCAAAAGCAACTAACTTAGAAGTGTTACCTCAGAAATCCAAGGATGCTTTAACATTTGACAAGGCATCACTAATTTAGTATATTAACAAAGAAGGCAATAATCATGGTCATCTCAATAAGTAAAAGAGAAAAACACTTAATAGACATCATTTCAAATTTAAATGTGTGTGTGTGTGTGTGTAGGAATTAATTGGAAGCTTCGAAAGTCCTCTCAAATTTCACCTAAGGAGGGACTCACTCCCACCTTACTCCATCAGATTTACTTTAAATGTCAAAACTGAAGGTCGGGCAGACAGTTCAGTGGATTAAAGCGCCTGCAAACAGGTGCAGGGTTCGATCCTTGGGCCTGCCATGTCAGCGCCCCCGGGGCGTGCTGAGATGGCATTTGAGACTGGGCGTGGTGGTGCACGCTTGTAACCCCAGCTCTTGGGAGGCTGTAAACAGGTGGATCACTACGAGTCCGATCTACTAGTGAGACCCTGAGTACCCTGTAGACCCTTCCCTAAAATTAAAAAAAAAAAAAAATAGTCAAAACTGATAAAAGACAGTTATGGTTGGATTCCAAAGTCTTGTGCAGCAGTCACTGGTGGGGAGTTTCAAAGGTGGTACGGATAATATGTCCCACCCTGGGCACCATTAATGGGATGGCACCGATTAATGGACTGTAGTCTGTGCAGGTTGCTGCTTGCTGTCTGCTGCCTGCTGCCTGCTGCCTGCGCGGCCACGGACTGCTTCTCCCCTGCCAACACCAGCCTTGCAAAGCGTGGCATGAGAAAAACCTCCCTCCTTTAATTGTGGGTGTTGGCTATTTTGTCTCAGCAACAAGAAAATAAGACGTTAAACTACAGACAATGTCACCCATGAGCAGAACTTCTAAATAAAATTTTACCAAATAAACCAAGAAATTATGAAATGGGTAACAACACGTCACAATCAAATTTGGTTGCTGGAGGGCGGGATGGATTACAGAGTATCTGAAAGGAATTTCTGGGAGTGATGGATATGTTCACTATCTTGTTTATGGCAGTATTTTCACGTATGCCAAAACCATCAAACTTCTCTTTAAAAATGTGCAGTTTATCGGATACCAACTATACCTCACCTAGCTGCTTTAAAAACAAACCTCTGCCTACGCCGCCGTTTTGCCTTCGGCAGCTAGGGGCCAAGAAGAGCAAGGTAGAACACAAAAGGGTGTTATCGCATTTTCTTCTTTTACGATGAGATAATCTGCAAACCCTTCACACGATTTTCGGAAGATGCGCGGAAGAGCGCGACCCCCAGCGTGGACCGAGGCTTTGCGGAGGCCGGGCTGCCGGCGGCACGCAGG